TTCACAGACAATGGGTAAGGAGTGTGAAAGAGTAGAGTTCATCTTGAACTCCAGTGACAGGCAAGTAACCTCTATTTCTTCTTTGAGTGGCATCTACACACGCCCACTCTTGGGACAGTCTGATGAGTGGTACAGTACTGTGAAATGAGGAAAGTGGGACACAGAGTCCTATTTAAACACTGACTGAAGTACAGCTCTACTGAACTGTGCCGCACACCCGGATGCTGAATCAAGGGAGTAACGTTTAGAGAACATGTGTACAGAGCTCCAAGTTCCAGCTCTGCAGTTTTCAACGAGCACACATTTAAGACATGCCAAAGAGGCTGCCTTAGCCTAGTGAAATGTGCAGGAAGAGGGACAGAAGGTAGTTTGTAGTTCTCCAATACAGAGCCTAACCCATTTAGACAAGCATTGAAAATAACCTGACCTTTACTATTCTCTTTCAAGGCTATGGAGAGATTAGGGGATTTAAATAAAATGTCAGTGCTCTTTTATCAACCAACTTGTGGAGTTTTAATTCTCCCGAATGTGCATGAGATGTGGAAAAGAACACTAGCAGGATAAGTGACTCTTGAAATGTAAGTCAATGAGGGGAGGAGCAGCTGGCAGCATGAGAGCACTCCAACCTAACTGCTATGAAGTTCCACTGTCAGAGCTGCAATCCAAGAATGGTACACGGAAAAGCCACTCAGACACAGTAACAGGTTTGTGACCTTATGCTTTGTCTATATATGGGTTTGCCTTGGTTTAACTTAATCAGTTTAAAATCAATTTGGTTAAACCATTGCAATTTTAATGTGTAGAAGAAGCCTTAGTTATCTGCCCTAGCAACCAGATACTCAACTTCTACCACTGTATTCAATGATAAAAATAGTAGCAAAAACATTCAGTTAGTATGTTCAGCAGTTAATGTTGACAATTAAGCATTTTAGATTTCAGTGTTAACACCCCATTGAGCGGGGGGGGGGGGGGGGGGGGGGGGCACAGTTTACATTCATATATTACTTCAGAACCATTAAAGGGTGTGTATATACCACTCAATTCTACATCTGATCGCACTCCTTCACAATTATAGAACATATCAGTAGTGGAACCAGTGGCTTAAAATGGAAAGCAAATACTACCTTACAGGTCCATTGTATTGCATTTTATAGTGAGGAGAATGAGACAAGATTTCATCAGAGGTGAAATGGACATGTTAACACAGAGAGGGAATCATTCCCTTACTGTTGCAACAGTGATCTTCCAAAAACATTAGTGACAAGAGTGTCTTAAGTTGGGAATGAGTAATCTTTAAGCAAGTAATTATAAAGCCACCAGACTAACAATTACCAGTTCTGATAATTTAAATTTGCTAAATCATAATGACCTTTTACCCCAGTAAAGTTTTTATATCCACCTTTGTACCTACCTACTGGTTGCCCCTTCAAGATCCCTCTGTTTGGCTGGGGGTCCTCCACTATCCGAGAATCCACGCCTAAAAAAAATACAAGACTTAAGACAGGAAGTACAATAAATAAGTAGTAGTCTGAGCAGAGACCTGGAAGCTGGAGCTCCGGAGTTCCCAATGCAGGTCTGTCACTGACTCAACTGTGACTCTGGGTAAGTCAAACCTCCTATCTGTGTGGGTAACGCTTGCCTACATCGCAAGAAACCACCACCATAATAATTAATTATATTTTGGTAACAGCCAAATTATATAGCTTTTTCCAAACGCTAAGTAAATGGCCTATATTAGTAGCATGAAGTTCACGATAACCCTGTAATTCTGACCACGATAACCCTGTAATTCTGACCCTCCAACACCTGATATTCTACTATGGGAAAGTATCACTTGGCCAGGGCAGACAGTCGGCCACAAAATAAATAAGTGTCTCATGTAGTCACAGTTAAAGCTAATGTGCATAAACATACAGTAACTTTATTTTATCATCTAATTCTGCAGTTTCTTACCTTAGCAATATGCTACCACGCCCTCTACCTCCACCAGGGCCTGTGATGGTCAATAATCTACCTTGAGCGGGCCTGGAAGAAATGTACTAGGTGTTAGAACTTGAGCAAGGTAAGCAAATACATGCTTTCTCTGGACACCTGCATGGCCTCACAAACCAGACATGATCTGTGACAGAGCCTCAAGTGCCCAGAGACAGAGCCTTGCTTGGAAAAACCTTGCCAGGAAGCAGCAGCACAAACCTTGGGGAGCTGCACAGGGATGCAGGATTGCTACTTAGGGTCGCCAACATTGTATTTTTTTTTAAATAAGGGGCTGTTTTCCCACCCTACCCCTCCTCCCAATATCATTAATAAATAAATAATAATAATAATAAGCAGCAGCGCTCACCTACACTAATGAAAAAATAAGGGACTTTTGGAAACCCTATGACCCCATCCCAACCCGGCTGGGCCTCCCCGGCTGAATCACGCCTGACGGACGACTGGAGAAGAGAGGCTCTTTGTATCCCCCTTAGACACGTTACCGACCGTGCGGGCAAATCACACGCACCGTGTCCCTACAATCACGGGGTGGTGAGAGTCGATCCAGCGCCCGGCCCAGCAACCCCATTGGAGCAACAATAAAAGCGGCGGGGCGCCCCCGCCTGCACTCTAGTGGGAGGCCGCAGCGCCGGCCAGGACGCTCCGGGGGGGGAGGAGGGGGAATCTCCCGCACTCACGGGCCGGAACCAGGTGCCCGAAGTGAGGAGGTGCGTCGGGCTGTGGCCTGGGGAGCCCCAAAAACCCGCGAACAGTCGGCAGGGTTTGCTGCCAGGGTCGGACGTGCGCGGCCCCATCGCTCCCCGAGAAAAGGCGCCCGCAAGGCTCGCCCGGACCGCCAGGGCCCGGCCCAGCCGCCTCGGCGCGCGCCCACCCAGTCCCGGCCTCACCTCACATCGTTGGGGTCCCGGCCCGTGAGTTTGCGGATATTCTCATCCACGTGCTTGAGGCTCTCCTTGGCCTTTTCCAGCTGTTCCTGCAGCGCGCGCACCGCCACCGCCATCCCGCCAGCAGCGCGGCCTAGCCAGGGGCCTAGCGCAAAGCACCGCTGGGTAACGGAGAGAGACGCCCCGCCTACAGACAACTCGACCCGCCCTATACCCCGCCAATCACAGAGCTCAGAGCCAGAGTGACACCAATAGACAACCACCAACTATCTGCGCCCACCAATCACCAAACCCCGACGAAGAACGACACCTCCCACAGCCAAGCATCGCCCGACGCATCTGCCAATTAAAGAGCCCATGTCGAAGTGACACCCCCACAGTCCATTACCACATCGGCGAATCACCAAACGGACAAACAAAATGACACCACTCATAGCCAACCAGCACAGTTTCCTTCCTTCAGGTCAACCAATCAGAAGCGGAGTAATACTGCCCATCTCCACCCCACTCTGAACGAATCCCAACTTTCCCACCGAGGCGCCTCAGAGACAGAACTAACAGGACTGGGGAGTAGCCAATCAGCTCCTAGTTTGTTATAAATGAACCAATAACAAAGCATTTTATTTATTCCGCAAGGTCTGGCGTTTAGCCAGTCAACTCGCGCGCTGCTTGCTTCTTCCTCTTGCAGCCGCCCCCTCCTGGGCACCTGCCCTATTACTCTGCTGCCTCGCTCATGGGGAGAATTTGTTGCAGAGGAGCTGAGATCCGCCTAGCGTAGCGCGGGTATGTCCCCTGCTGCCGCTCAGAACGTCGCCACTCTACAGCCTGCCCTGCTCCGCTGTGCGACCGCCACCCTGCATCCACATGGCCCCTCACCCGCCGGTTGCAGCATGATTGGCAGGGGGCAGATGGTCCCCGGCACAGTTCTGTGGCTCCTGTGATTTAGTCGGGGTTGGTCCTGCTTTGAGCAGGGGGTTGGACTAGATGACCTTCTGAGCTCTCTTCCAACCCTGATATTCTATGATTCTTCTAGTCCTGCAGGCCCTGCAGAGTGCTCCATACTCAGGCCTCCTGTTCTTTGCCCAGTGTTCTGTAGCGCGCAATGAGCGGGGTAGCCAAGTGTCTCTGTTCTGCCTGTAAAATTCCTTTGGGATGGGGGTTACATTGTTCCTCTTATTTGCTAATCTAGGTTTCTTGCTATTTAGGTTCTTGTACTGCATCCAGCTCTGCGGCATGATGAGCAACTCACAGAATTAGCCTGAAATGAAAATACATCTCTCTCTGTCTCCATACTCTGTAGGGACTTGATGTTGATTTGGCTTTGTGGTGGTGTACAAAGTTTAGGTAAACGAAATGGGCCAATTAGCCATTTGAAGTCAACAAGCAAGGAAACTTGAATGAAAGATGGGTTCATTGTGCTGGTGCTGGATGGTGGTGATGGCCTGGCCTAGATGATCTGGTCCCTTCTGGCCTTAAATTCTAAAATAGTGAGGGTGAGGTGTTAAGATAAATGTGAAGAAAGGCAGTAGAAACTTACTTTTATCTTTAACATTATCCTTAGTTTAATCCCAGATGTATCTGCAGAGGTAGAGGGTGCCATTATAAACTCACATCCAGCTTGTATCCTCCCCCCAACCCACACACACCCTAGAGCTGCCAAGAAGATTTTCTCCTGTAGACTGCGATTTGTCCCCTTTATAATGAATGTCAGCCACAAAGAGAACTCTGTTACTGGCATTAGTTTAAAAAAAAGGTAAAATGCCATTGTCCAAACCATATTGGCAGAATGTCTATAACAGCTTTCAGAGCCGGTAGAGCTACTGGCTGCGCCAGTTTAAAACATGAGTGAGACCAGGGGCGGGGCAGGGTGTAAAGAGCAGCGATTATGCCCAGGCCGTATGGAGAAAAGGGAATTTACTGAATTTCAGGCAGACGTAAATATTTTAAATATCTGACATTAAAATAGTCCCCAAGTTTCACACCTAGCATCCTCTGCCACCTGGAACCGCATCCCCTCACTCTAACTTTGCAACCCCTGGCCCCACCTCCCCATCCTTTGCCCCGCATTGCGAAGAGCGCAGCGCGGTCGCCCCGCCCTCGTACGCTTTTCCCCCAGGGGCGGGGCCCTTGGAGTCTGACAGGGGGAAGCCCCGCCCCTGCCCGGAAGCCGCCCGTTGCCTTGACAGTGAGGCCGCGCTGCTTCCCGGAGCTGTCGGGGTCCGGTCTGGGAAGGAAGGAGCCGGGAAGGGGAGGCAGCGCGAGGCCGGGCCCCGTCCTGTAGCCACCGGCATGACCAGGCCGGAGATGGCGGACGAGACGCTGTTCCTGCTGCTGCACAACGAGATGGTGTCGGGACTGTACCGGGCCGCGGAGCACGGCGAAGGGGTGAGGCGGGGACTACCGGGGGGGAGACGCTCTATTGCCGAGCACACGCACGCATTCGCCTGGGGGCGATCTCCCGGGGGTTCCTTATCCAGCTGGTCCCTAAGCTCCTGCTTGGCACGATGCCTGTGCCCGGAGCAAACCCTGTTCCCGTCAGGGTCTCTGGGTGCCAGGAGCACCGTGGGGCAAAGCCCAGCCTGGCGCTGTCCTGGCCGAAACTAGAGAAAGAAAGACACGAACACGTTTATTTCCTGAACTCAAAATATCTGATTCTTCTGTAAAATCTATCAGGAGAGCCGGCTGGCCAGATCTTACTTTTAGCATGTGTTTGCAGGGGAGGAGCACGAGCTGAAATAGCATATCTATAGCTTGAAGCCATTAGGGATGGGTGTGTTCTTATTTTCCCTATACACCCGTGCTACAAGACTGGCGTTAACGAATATGAAAAGTAACTTTTGTATCTTCTAGGAAAACGGACGATGCATCACTAAACTGGAAAATATGGGGTTTAGAGTAGGACAAGGATTAATCGAAAGGTAAGAATAGTGAGTTTTAAAAAATGTCATCCTATAGCCTTGCTCCCACCCCCTGTGTCTCACTTTGCTGCCCCCACCCCAAACTCTTTCCCCGGGAATACCATGTGGACTGGAGCCCTCCATGAATTTTTGGTATTGAAGTACAGTTTACAGGACTGTACTTTATAGCATCACTTCTAGTGCTTTTTTAAGAGAGATACAACATCAGCTCACCTTCAGACCTTTGGTAGAGTAGCTGACTTTAATTGGTGATTGAATACTTTTGTTAGCAGTCCATCCACTTCACTTTAAAATCATCCATAATTCTTGGATGAATGCAATCTAGTACAGGTGATTTATAGTTCTTTAATTGTCACTTGTTCTAGCACCTTCTCTTTTGACACCTCATTCTCTTATGTTTCATATTTATTACCTGAAGATAGTTATCTCCCCCGCATCCTATGTGGTAAAGACTGAGGCAAACAAATTACATAGTTACACTAATGTCCTTTTTCCTCATGAATTGTGCCTTTTAGGCCTTGTCTACACTACAGAGTTTTGTCAACGCAAGTTACGCCAACATACAGCCATTGCTGTAATTAAACTGCTGTGGCATGTCCACACTACACTCCTTGTGTCAGTTGAGCGCATCCACAATAGCAGCTCTTGCATCGATATAGAGAGTAAAGCACTGTGGGAAGCTATTCCACTGTGCAACTGGCTGCAGGGTGTTTTGGGAAGGGTTTGCAATGCCTCATGGGGGCAGGTACAGCGTCACATAATGAAAGTTTCTCAATCCCATTGTTCCGTGGGCATCCTACTAGATTGCTAACCGCTTTTCAACTGCCCTGGTAACCTGCAACCTAGCCATTTCTGTCAGAAAGCATGGATCCTGCACTGCTGTTCAGTATTGTGCTGTGTGTTCTGAACACAAGGCTATAAGAGGAGCCCAAATGGGGGCTATTTGGCTGGGGGATGCCTTGAAGGAGCATATTAACATTGATCCACAGTAATATGTGTTGCTGTAGTGTGCTGAGCCTGGCATTGTTTGTTTGCACCTTTCTATGAACCGTCTAATTGTGTATGCCCGAAAAGTAACGGACCTTGCTAAACACTAACACAAGAAACTCACAGAAGTGTATATATGTGTGTGGGGGGGGGGGGGGGGTGGGTATGAGAGCGAGAGACAGGGGATGGGGTGGGGGGGGGTGGATGTGAGAGAGAGACAGAGTGTGTGTTGGGGAAGTGTGTGTGTGTTGGGGGAGAATGAGTGTGTTGGCATGCTGTCTATTTAAGTTCAGACAGCAGCCGGAAGCAACCAATCCTGAGGTAGAAGCTGGTGGTGCACAGACAGCTAGTGTCCCCTTATCCCGCAGCTCAGCGGAGACCAGTATACCGACAAGGGGAAGAGGACACCCTGACATCAGCCCCTGCCTCACTCCCTGGCTCAACACAGCACAAGTCTCTTCCCCCACCCCCCAATAGCAGCAGCCCACCCTGCCTGCCTGCCGCTGTGGTCCTAGTGCCAGGGAGAGCAGGATTCTGCATTAATGTTTTGATTCAGTGATTCCCTCTGAATTCTCCCACAGCCTCCTCTCCCCACAGACCAAGGAGATCCACCTCCTTCCCTGAAGTCCAGGCAGGAGTGTGTTTGCTGCCGGGAACCCACAGGCGCCGACTTCTACTGGTGCCGGTGGGTGCTCGACCCTCCTCTCCCCCTAGCCCTGCCCTGACTCCACCCCTGCCCTGCCCCCCATCCCCATTCCAACTCCTTCCCCAAAGTCCCTGCCCCAACTCTGCCCCCTCCCTGCCCCTAGTCTGACTCCTTCCCCAAATCCCCGCTCCGCCTCCTCCCCTGAGCGCGCCATGTTCCCGCTCCTCTCCCTTCCCTCCGGAAGCTTGCTACAGCTGTTTGGCGTCGGCAAGCGCTGGGAGGTGGGTGGAGGAGTGAGGACGCAGTGCTTTGAATCCTTCCTGCATCCCTATCAGCCATTCATGCCCCAGGATTAAAGTTAGTAAATTCAAATATATTGGTCCCACCATAATTTTGCCACTTCATGCATAGGTATTAAGATAACATAAAAGCAACACACAATACTATGCATACATGAGTGACAGTAGTCAAGGGAGTCTATATTTGAATGTTCTGACTGTGTTCTATACTTAAATCTCAACCAATGTTGCATATAGCTTTTTTTTGGTGTCATTTACTTGACATATGGTCAATTGAGAAAGTCACTGTACACCTGCATTTACTTGAACAAAATCAACCTAACCATATCTGCTCTGCTCTTAGATTTACCAAAGACACTGCCAGATTCAAGGATGAGTTAGATATTATGAAGTTCATCTGCAAAGATTTTTGGACTACAGTATTCAAAAAGCAAATTGATAATCTAAGGACCAATCATCAGGTATTAATACTGTAGCATAAGAGTTAATTTGTGGAGCTTGTTATAAACATGTTATTATTTTGAAGGAATAATAATATTGCTTTAGTTTGTCCTGGTCTGAGATTAATCATACACATTTTCCATCAGGGATAACCTTTTTCTTTATATGGTCTTATTTTAAAAAGTAGCTGTCCTTAGTTAAAAAGAATTGTTTTAGATACAACTTTCAATGCAGACTTGACTATAATAAATATTGGAGTGGTGTTATAATGCAGACTTGGCTGTAATAAAGGCTTAGAGTGATGTTATAGTCTTTTGCCATTTTACAAGATTAATGCGCAGATCATCAAAGGAATTTAGGCTTCTAACTTCTGTTAAAATCAATAGCTGCTTAAATACCTTTGAGGATCTGAGCCTAAATGCCTGCAGTCCCCCAAACATTTTTGTAGTACTGCTGCACCAACAGACCCAATGCAAGTACACAGTCCAGAAATGGAGATGGCAATTGTGGTTGAGTTTTGTTGTTTTACAACACATTTTTACATACTTGATGAATCATTTAATAGAAAACAATTTCACTTTGTCATACATTTTATCTCAAACTGCCTGCATAATATTTCTCTAGAATGAGTTCCTTGAACCATTTTTACTTTGAAGTCATTATTGTATGCTTTAGAACGTTGCCATTTGAAATACTTTCACCCTGCTAAACACATTTTGTATGAAACAATTGACAAACTTTCACTGCAAATTGGCATCCCACTGATATGACACTGTATTCATGTCCCTTCCTCTGTGGAGCTAGCCAGTTCTCAAAGCTATAGCAGAATCATATAAATGGCTGCTTTCATTGTTAGAGCCTCAAATCTCTGTTTTTTCTTTCCAATGATCCATGATATGGCACAATTCTCATGATAAAATTGTGGATGGGAGACTTGTATGGGGGAGAAATGGCTGCAAAAGGTAAACTATGTAAAGTATTTAACTTCCAATGGGTATTTTATCACCAATACAATTTAACAAGGAATGCTTGCGGATTAGAAACTGCATACTCAAATTTAATAATTTGTTCTTTGTTCTAATAGTTATTATATTCCAAAAATATTTGAGATCTGTAATAGCAGAGCCTTAAACATTGTCAGTTTTATATATACCTTTAAATTCATTTCAAGTAATGTTAGGTTATAAATTGACAGAATCATCCTTACCTCTTACAGCCAGAAATTAAGCTTGGAGACATTTTCATTGCATGCTTAGATCAGCCTGTGCTGTTTTTGTACTTCCTGTTACATAAAGTTATGTGGGCACCTTTTTAATATGTGCAGAGATGGATTATTAGAATCTGCTTTTATGCTGTTCATATCAGGGAGTACTCATGTCCATATCCTCTCCAATGATTTTTCATAATTAAATTATTTTTGGGGGAAAGTAGTGGAGAAAAAATTTACAGTTTCTTAAGTATTAAAATGAACATATTAACAACAAACAAAATTTAATACATCAGAGCTGCTGTTAAAATTATTCTTCAGCACTGGAAAGACTTCTCCCAATTACATGTAAGTCATCAGGCACATCTCAGCTTCACAACTTTAACCCTTGAAAGATTTGTGCCAAAACTAAGTTAGGTATGCAGATACCACAACAATGAATGTGCTTTGCGAACCTGGGTACATAAAGTCATTACAGGGTTCTAAATACAAAGAAATTATCTTAAGAAAACATTATACACTTCTTATCAGCAAGTTGATAATATGTATTAATGCAATATTGTGGTTTTGTATAAGCTTGTAATTTGAAGTATCTTTTCTATGGTTCCTGTTTTTAAATTTTATTTTATAAAACTTAAAGAAACAATTCAGTTTCAACTTTCCACTCTTTATTCTTTATATATAGTGTAAATTCAGTTTTCTGTTTCAATCTGGAAACATTTCACTGTATTTGTAAATATCTCTTACAAAAAGATTAACTGATTCTCTCCAAAAAGGTTGATTACAATATGTTGCTAAATATCCTACTAAAGGAAAAATTTCTTTTCCTATAGGGTATCTATGTACTTCAGGACAACAAATTTCGTCTCTTGACTCAGATGTCTACAGGAAAACAGTATTTAGAATATGCACCTAAGGTATTCTTCAGCTGTAGCCTGGAAAATTAGCAGTTTTAGATCTGTATTATCTTGATTCAATTGTAAAAATTCTTATGACTGGAGTTGTGTGGATAGAAAAGGTACAAAAATGCGTTTGGCGCATTTTCTGTGTAAGTGTTAAACTAGATATCAGTAATGTTTTCTATTGTATTTAGGTACAGTGAATGTGACTGGTGGGTCAGGAAATAATCATGGTCATTTTGAAGCCTAGCAGTGTCAAGTTTGAGTGGCTTGTCTGACAGAGCAAGGGCTGCATGGGGGTCTCTTCTGCTCTGCCTGTGAGCGGAACATCAACAAACACACCTTGCTCTATGGGGAATACTGCAATGGGAGTGACCATTAGCCTCACAAAACTTTTTTATTTCCCTTTAGTAGAAAGCAGGTATTATCAGGAACCTTCCTGTCTTTCTCTTCCATTCCTTTTCTCCTAATTCCCATGAGATGGTGAGATTATACTAAAGTGATGCTCAAAACAAACTTTCAATGATATTACATTTTTATAAGAAATATCTTCCATCAGATTTTTATAAATAGCTCTGAGTTTTATTAATTTAAATACTGTAGCTAACATAATAGATTAGATAAGTTACATCAGTGCCTCAGCAGAGACTGCTGCTCTGAAGTGGTTTTGGTCAGAGTGGATGTCAGAAATGGAGTGCTCAATTAAATTATAATATACTATAAATATCTCTTAGATGATAGCTTTTGATCTCTTAACAGAAGACATGACTATGGATATTTATAATACTGGATAGAGTCTTGGGAGATTTGCCTCTTTCTGTCTAGTCTGCTTGAGATACTGTTTTCTATTTTATACATTCTTCTGTAAAAATATTTGGAGATATCTTTAAATTCATAACATTTACCCATTTTCTAAGGATAAGCTGAGCTCTGATTTATCAGCAAGTGTCTCAAGTTTAAAATCACTCCCTGAGTATTCTGGTATTAAGTTTATATACCCTCTGGCCAAATGTCTTGCAAAACATTGGCATGTCCTCAAATGTTGAAACAAAACCAGAACTACCACATAGGCTGTTTTTATGCATTTGTAGTTAGATTGTGATACAATGCTAGTATACTTTTATTGTAAACTTCATTTTCGATGATGCTGACATAAAATAAAATATAATTTTATGTTTAGTATCTGGCATTCACCTGTGGACTAATCAGAGGTGGCTTATCAAATCTGGGAATCAAGAGTATTGTGACAGCTGAAGTTTCAGCAATGCCTGCATGTGAGTACATCTCAGATTAGACAACTGTTGTAAGATCATTGAATAGGTTTCCTTATCTACTTCATCACTGTTCAAGTGTTCAATTTGGGACTAGAATTTAAAGCTGTACTAAGTGTGGATGTCAGGAAATAGCTTATTTTGAGTATTATTGAAAGTTGTTCTACTGAAAGAGCAGAGAAGGTTAGCACGGAGAAAAAACATAATTATAAAATGAAAAGCAAAACCAAGAAAAATTCATAGAAAAGAAAGACGGGAAAATGAGAAGCAGCAATCATGCCAGGGTGTGGCAGAAGGGGAAGATTCCAACCAAATGCGGTTGAGAATTGCTGTTTGAGTATCTTCTACTTTTGGAAAATGACTACTACTTTTGTAGAATTCCAGGTGCCATGGGATTTAACTTTTTAGTGGTTCTCAAACTTTTTTTACTGGTGACCCCTTTCATATAGCAAGCCTCTGAGTGTGACCCCCCTTAGAAATTAAAAACACATTTTTATATATTTAACACCATTATAAATGCTGGACGCAAAGCGGGGTTTGGGTGGAGGCTGACAGCTCGCAACCCCCCCCCATGTAATAACCTCGCGACCCCCTGAGGGGTCCCGACGCCCCATTTGAGAACCTGTTTTAGTACAACTTGGATTATAGCCTGCAAAATGAACATGTTATATATAGTTAACTATTCAGTCTCCACTCCTCTTCAATATTTACATGAAACCACTAGAAGGGGTGGTGACATAATAGGCTTCACTGCCAACAACCTAATCTAAGTAAGTGTGTTCCCACAGGGCTTTGCACTAGTTTAAATTTTTTGTTTTTAACAGATTTAAAATGAAACTGATGCAACTTTGAACATAGACAAACTTGCAAAAATACTTTTAACTGGGTTTAACAAATGTAATAGAATAGCTAGATTTTTTTTTAAGGTGAAAAAGAGGACTGCACTGTCTCCTGCTAGCTCTTTTGAACAAAGCAAGTATGAGAAGTTGCTGCCGTTGGAAGGTTTTATAGATAATACTGATATTTTGTAACTTGATTCTGCTTTTCTTTGCAGGTAAATTTCAGGTGATGATACAGAAGATGTAAAACATGTTCAGATCTGTGTATCTGCCCTTTTTAAAAAACCCTGTGTACACTAAAGAGGTCTTGATTAATTTAGCTTCACCTGTATACCTTATAAATTATAGTAGCATGCAGCTCAATTCCTGTATTATGTAAAGTAAATATTAACTTAATAAAAATAGCTTAACACTATATTAGTATCTTGGTATGAAATTAGTAAGTTCTGTACTAAGACATTAAATATCCACCACAATACACATTCAATTGATTAAATAACTTTAACAGAAACACATGTGTTTTAGCTACTAGATTGCTGAATAATGAAGATTGCAGGCAGATGTATTTTAAAAATCTTTAAAGTTGGAATTGAAAACCTGAGGTATGGTAGCATGGGCAACTTTCCCCCTCCCTTTTTGTTCTTTAATAGTGTTAGTTAGATCCTGTGGGTGAGAGTGAATGTATTGTAAAAGGAGGTGAAGAGCTTGTACATTTCAGCAACTGGGGGGTTGACAGAATAATGGTATATTTGTTTATGGGGGCATTGCTGAAAGAGGGCAGAGTTAAGATTGCTTGGGCAACCTTAACTGTGAATGTCCTGGTTTTTATAAGTTTGAGTTTTGCTCAATTCAATATTCTGAAAGGTGATGACATACCACCAAGCAACTTTAACTCTGCATTAACATAGGGATCTTTTGCCATTCAGTTTCCTAGTTTTTTGAATGGGAAAAGTTATGGTGTTGGTAGAAGTTAGTAGCCATTTAGGCTGTTGTAGATATGTCCCACAATTTGCATACTGAGACATCCAAAACTCCCGCCAATCAGCTGGGCTTCACCAGCCATGAACCTGACCCCTTCTCTGCTGGCAGACCTTCCACCACTGCAGCTAAGAACAGATGTCCCTGAAGCCTTCACTACTTGGTATACAAACTCTTCTGTTGCTGTTACTTCCCCCCAATCATACAATCCAATTTGAGTAAAGAACAATTATGTTACAGTGGAATGGTGTTTCTGGTCATGTTTTGGAATGCTTGGAGAGTGGAGTTTGTGGCAGAGTCAGTGAGAGAAATCAGACAGTGTCTGTTCTGATACTGCCAGTTTTATGTTTGGGCTAGAGGGAATGATTCTATGGCCTGGTGGTTATGGCAGCCATGTGGGACCTCAGGTCCAGTCCCCCCTTTCCCATCACTTTTTCATTATTTATCCACAACATAACAGCTTCAGCAGGTGAGGAAATCTCTCATCAGAATATTGGATAGATCAGTGGTTGAAGCACTCAGAGGTGGGAGACCCCTGTTCAAATCCTTTCTCCCCCTCAGGCACAGAGGGGGGAATTGAATTTGAATCTCCCACATTCCAGGAAAATGCTCTAACCACTCAGCTAAAAGTTATAAGGTGGGCACTACCATTGCTGGCACCACCCATTTTGTGTGGCTGAGGCAGGCACCTAACTCATCCCTTCAAGGAACAGCTTAGGCACCTAGGCCACCTGCCGGGTTACCTGTCATGGATTGCTAAACAGAAATAGGCACAGCCTGGATTTAGGCACCTATTTCAGAGGGTACGTCTACACTATGAGATTAATTCAAATTTAGATAATTCGAATTTGGGAAACAGATTGTATAAATTCGATTGTGCGCGGCCACACTAAGCACATTAATTCGGTTTTTAACCACATTAATTCGGTGGTGTGCGGCCACACTACCCCATTAATTTTAACCACATTAATTCGGTGGTGTGTGGCCACACTACCCCTAATTCGAATTAACAAAATCGATTTTGGTGCTACTCCGCTCGTCGGGGTGGAGTACAGAAATCGATTTTAAGTGCCCTTTAATTCGAAGTAACTGGCTCCGTTGTGTGGACGGGTTAAGGATTAATTCGGATTAACGCAGCTAAATCCGAATTAAAGTCATAGTGTAGACCAGGCCAGAGAGAGGCAGAGTTTAGCACACATCCCTGTCATCAGCATCTCCCATCGGCTAGCTTAGGTGGCTCCCCATCTATTATTCTGGCTTCTGTGAATCACACTCTTAGCTGCTTAATATCTCTCCCCATTCAGTGTATAAGGAACCTAACCACCTAACTCAGGCTGTGTGGATCAGTGTTGTCCCTGTGGTTGGCTAGGTACCTAAAAGTTAGGCACTGTGACACTCAGCATTGAAACATCTAAGTGCCTTTGTAGATCCCACCTTTTGTTCATCAAAAGGAGAATGTTTAACAGCAGTTAATGGCTATACTACATAAGCTATGTTCAAGTCTACTGTGGTGTAGTGAGAACTGGACAGAATAGAAATTTTGTTCTTACATTTAAATATTGTGAAATGACATTAATGCTATATTTTACAGTAACCTGCCATTTATTTGAAATGTTTAAGTATTTTTAACACATTGGATAGCTTCAGTTTCTTGTATACACCCAGCCTTGACTACAAGTGCCAATATTGATAGTTTCTCTCTTGCTTTATAACTGCTAACAGAGCATAGAGAAACTAATTTAATCTAGAAGTGGTTAAATGTACAAAAAGCATACTTGATCAGTGTAGGAGACTGACTATTCTTATAAATCCAGTAAAGTTAACAGGATTAACCTTACAGTATTTCTGTCTAGATTACATTAAAGCCAGGTCAAATAGTTGTACAAGCTTGTTCATGCTAATAAATACTCATTATGCTCTGAGTAAATGTGTAATTATTTTACTGCTAAAATTAGTATAAACTAGTTTTATTGTACTAGCATCTAACATTTTCAGATCCTCTCTTGTTTTATCTCCAGTGTATACTGAGCTAATTATTAAATATATTGGAGTCCCTAACTAATAAGCAATATAGTTTTGTAGTACTGTTTAAATTCAGTACCTGAATTGACCATAAAAAAAACCCAGTCCGCATGTATATCTAACATGACCACCAATTCTGAAAAGTTGCAGATTATAAATAGCAAAAATAGATGCCAAGAAGCAATTTTTAGAAACATTCTAGCAAGACACACACACACTGAGCAGTTTTGAAAATTTTTATTGTAAACGTTTACAAAACCATTTAATATCGGATTCTTTAGATGGGTTCATGAAAGAGATTTCTCACTGCCTCGAGCTTTCATGTGTAAAAAGCTTGGGGCCCAGTCTTGCAAATCTTTATTCACATGAGTAATTCAATTTCAACAAAAAGGCTTACTCTCCAGAAGTAATTTTTCAGGATTAACTACCCTTGGGTGCTCACAACAACTCAATTTGCTTACTGCTTTGAAGATCACTTGTTTTTGCAGAGAAACAGGCTTATAGAGAGTGGGTAGGCACTTCGCTGCTGACCCTTTTCAGGTCATGGATTATTCAGCGAGACCAGCAGTCTTTTGCTCAACACCATTCAAGCTCACTACTAAGAAGGTACATTTTGAGCTGCATTGCACCTGGCTGTTTAACATTGATGCTGGTGTTGGTTTTATAGTGATGTGAGACATTTAATGTCCCCGATCTGGGATCAGGAGGGCTCGTCAGCCAGATCACGTTGATCAAAATACCTATCAGAGAAACACAATTTGAATATATTGAGGACAAAGTTAGTCAGAGAGAGTTAAGACATGGTCTCCCCCGCCCACAATTAAGTAATTGACAGTGTATTTGCTGTATATTTTACTGCTAGTTTTTATTCCCAAAATGTTTCTGGCTTCATATAAGTAATTTTAGATTTGTTCAAAGGTTCATCGTTGATCACATGCTTCAGATGAGCTGTTTTTTTTAAAATTTTACTTCACCTCTCCTTGAGGAAATTAGTATATGCTTCGTTTTCTCCTGGTTTTAAAAGTAAGTCATTTTAACTAAGCAAATGTGTACCACCGAATATAAAGTCTTTCCAAAAACCGTTGCAGCCTATATTCCTTAAAAGCTAATCATATAGCTAAGCTATCTGTGCTTGCTGTGTACATAAATTACTCTAAATTCTACTTATAAAAATGAAGCTTGCAATACCTGCTAACTAAACAGATTAGCAAATTCAGAGCAGACACTTTCTCTTCATTCTTGTTCTCCTGCAACAAAGGAATATGAAGTCTTAGGTCATATGTCTAATATTACTTGACTGCAGAAAAGGACTGCCATTCTTATGCAATTTGTTGGGTTCCCATAAAAATCCAGTAGTTCATTCTCAATACTTTGCTTTTTTATTCACTTGAGTCTACTATCTATATACTATTAAATCAAATAACTTGGATAAATGCAAACTAAGAATTTTATTTCTCAACAATACTGTCAAATCATTCCCCACACTATTCTGAATTGTAAGAATTTTCCCCTATTAAATTGTTACTTACCTCTAGTACTCTGACTTCAGAGCATCGTCTTGCCAACTGCCGAATTAGGGAGTGGGCTTCAGGCAACAAAGGCTTTTCAAGACATGCCAACAAAGCATAAAACCATCTGCCCTAAGTGGATTTAAACAGAAGTACAGCTTGGTATTTTCCAGATCAATTTTTACCATAATTAATTGGTAACACACCAAGGTCCCATACATTGCTATCCATTGCCATTGTACTGAATGCTAGTGGTGACCAATATCTGGTCCAAGAACACACATGCATTAATAAATATTGTCATAAGAGAGGAGCTAGGGAAAAAAGTTTCAAAGTTTGTTTTAATACGAAGTGTGTGCTCTCTAGGGCATACCTACAGGCAAGGGAGACAAGTTACTATTGTTATGAAAATAAATTTGAGTTTCTTGATATTTATTTTAAATATACAACTCTTCACTGAGTTAGTTTATAGGTAGATAGAATAAATTAAAAATTACCAGTTCTGGAGTAAACTCTTTCTCTCCAAACCAGTTTATCAGATATTCCAGGACGCTAGTTACTGTTGCCTTTTAAAAGAGGAAAAAAGAAAAAAACACCTGAAAAGGAAGCATGACTACGTATAACAGTCATTGCACCAATTTTTGATGATTATAGTTTATAAAGAACTATATCAAAAGCAAACAGAAGCATGACTTCACTTTTCATTGGATATAGATGTAAGCAGAGTCAGGATGAGCTCTACCCTGACATCTGGTGGTGAATTATGGCGAGTGTGGAAAAGAACTCCAGGGGCGGATCTTGTTTGCATAGGCCCACCCACACGCATAGCATGAGCCCACAGCAACCGAAAGTGGTTACTTTGGCTGGTGTGGGATCCCCAGTTTCTCTGTTATTGGGGCAGGAAGAATAAAGTTTTGTTACCCTGATTCTGTGAATCAAGGCCAGTGGAACTGTTGTATGACAGAAGGACTGAGTGAATCCTTCACCATTACCTAAGTAGCATTTGCTTGTCAAGGGGCATGGGTTACAAAACCCAGTGAATTGAGAGAGGATGGGGACAGGTATTTGTACCTGATGGTATGGGCCCCCTCTGAGGGTTTGAAGCACCAATTGCACCGCCTCCTCTCTCCACTGTTGAATGTCAGAGCTAACTTTGATTCCCTTAGGAGTCTAGTTACAGGCTGCTGAGCTGAATTCACTTTGGGCCAATGGTGCACCAGCACTGGGGCTCCCCTACTATACTATGAGCTGAAATCACTAAGAGCTGAAATCACAAAAGAGCTGATGTTATTAAGAGCTGAGATCACTGAGTGCTGTGTTAACTAGTGGGGGAGCCTGAAGCTATATTACTCAGCAGCTGGCGGAGCAATTTGTGGGGACGACTGGAGGAGCAGTGAGCAGCGTGGAGCCTTGCGGGGCCGGTTGGAGTGGCCCAAGGAACGGCGAGCGGAGCTGTTTGCGGGGACGGCTGGAACGGCTCACAGGTCGGTGAGCGGAGCGGAGCGGAGCAGCTTGTAGAGCGGAGCAGTTCGTGGGACGGCAGAAAGTGGACTGGCTCGTGGTAAAGGCTGCGGCGGAACCCCCACGGAGAAACAGACGGCTGGCCAGCCTTGGATCACGTAAGGTGCCCCTTAACACCCTGCGTGCCCCCCCCTTTTTTACTCTGGGGCTGCACTGACCAGGGACAGAGACTTTGGGGGTTGTTGGACCCAAGAGACTTTGGGGGTGTTGGACTTTGGGGACTCTGGGTGATTTTTGGGTTGCTGGATTCAAGAACCAAAGGGAAAGGACACAGCCCAATTTGCTGGGGTGGGTTTTGCTCATGGTTTGTGTTATGAATCCTGTTTGTGGTGTTTTTCCCAATTTTATGCTGATGTCGTTTACCTCATGTTATTAAACATTTTCTGCTACACTCAGACTCCGTGCTTGCGAGAGGGGAAGTATTGCCTCTTAGAGGTACCCAGGGGGGTGGTATGTAATTGTCCCAGGTCACTGGGTGGGGGCTCGAGCCGGTTTTGCATTGTATTATTGAAACGGAACCCCTAGATACAGAACCCGGCCCTTGTTGCTGCCAACTTAGATGGGCAGAAGGGTTACATAAACAAGTATCATTTCACTCTCTATGGTGCATCTAGACAGGCATTTATTTCAGTCTGAAACTTGATATAAAGGAGAAAGGAAATTTCAGGACAGATGTTGCTGATATTGGAAAGGACTGTGAATATATAGTAAGAGGAGGAAATGATGCCCAAAGTGGACCACAATACTTAAAACTAAAATCAGAGGTATAGAAAGACTTTCATGTCAGACACTGAAAAAATTCAGACTGTTTAGAGATGACTAACAGGGGACATAATAGTATGAGGGGTAGTAGTATTAGTATTAGGGGATTCCATGACTGTTCAGAATTCCACAAGACATTCCACATGCTGTTCTCCGGGTGGCTTGTAACATCCGGGATAAAATTCCATCAACGGAGGCGTGGAGGCGGCCTACAGGCAGACACCCTATTACATGGGTTCATGAAGTCTGTTCTGACGTCGAACTTTTTGCCCATCAAGCCCTTGCAGCCACACAGGAATGGACCAAATGGTGAACAATCGCTACAGCCAACCCTTTTGGTTAAGTGTTGAAGTAGTAGTAGCAGTGGTGCAGTAAGCAATGTGACTAAACATCACATCTGTTGTGTTTGTTCTCTCATCCTGTCTTCAGGAGGAGAAGCATATGCAATGGAGTGGATTGTTTTGGTGGGTTTTTTTTTATTATTATTTAAGCCACAATTTGAGAATGTGTCTTCAGTACCAGCAACAATAATAAAAAGTAGTTCATGCGAACAAAAAAATATTTCTATTTAAACACGAAGTATCAATGAGGAAAGGGTAGAGATTTGATGTGTTAGTTTTACCAAGTAAGACTCTAGTGGCAGGTTGCAGTAATGCCTCAAACAAGTTTTATGGTATAAATTATTGTTTCCTTTAATACAGTGACACTCAGATGGGATAGCCATGGAATTAATAGGAAAACTATAGAAAAAGTAAACATTTTTGGTGAGAAATATTTTATTCTCATAAGTAGAAACATAGACTTACCTGATTCATTCTGCTAACAATACTTAAAAAAGGGGGAAAACCGATCTGAAAAGAAAAATCATGGTGGAACTGTAATATATAAAGTAAACTTCCCAACAAATACCCTTGTATTTTAAGATTTAAATTAGAACCGAGTTTGAACACGAGGACATAAATCCACTTCATATTTTTCATTGTAATGGGTTTTCAAAGCATACTAAGTACTAATTTCGAAAATACCAGTTACAATTAATAATAGGAAGAGCAAAAAATACTCCTGGGGGAATTCTGCACCCAAAAATAAAAGATTCTGTGCACAACATTATACAATTCTGCATATTTTGTCAAAACAACACTACATAATCACACCAGTTTCCATTATTTTTGAATTATTTCAAAATATCTGTCAGTAACTATGTCTGTAACAAAACAGACAAAATTTTTTTCCCAGGAGCAGAGAGTTAAAGAAACCCCTATGACAACCCAGTTCCTGTTTCTCTGCCCCCTACTCCCCAGAGCCCAGCTGGGGGGCCAGATACCCATAACCCCTTCCCCGAGCCCAGCTGCAGGACACCCCCCTACCTCAGAGCCCAGCCACGGGGCACCCCCCAACCAAGTCACTTGCATGCACCCCTACTCTTCCAGAGCCCAGGGATCCAGAGAGAGAAACAGCACGATGCTGGGTCCTGGGCTTGTGTGGAGTTTCCTGCACGCCATCTCCTTCCTTCAGGACGTGCTGGGAAATGCAGCTGTAGGAAACCCTCCAGCTCCTCCCCCGGCCCCTCCAGCAGTGTCTTCAATTTGTGAGCTGGGTTCTGCCACGTCCAGTGCCCCGTAATGGCAGCCAGCAGCTCTGTAGCCCGTTTCTGTGGGGCGAAAAGGAAATTCTGCGCAGAACATTAACTTCTGTGCAAATTTTGCATTGTGCAGTGGCACAGAATTCCCCAGGAGTAAACAAAGCAAACATAAGCAGTAAAAAATAGCTATTCATCTAAATGTTACCAAATACTGGGAGAGGCAACAGATTTTAAAAGGACAACTTGAATTTCTTTAAATTGCAATTTTTTTTTTAAAAGTTATTGTTTGAGTCATAGACTCTTTAAATAGGTCCTGAATTTTTATAAGTGTTTTCTGGCTCTCTGATGTTTACTAAGGGCCTTTTGGGCATGTCCAAGAGCAACAACAAACATGCCTGAGCACACCTCTACACCTACCTCTCTGTATACAGACATGCTCACCCGAACTCCTTCCTCTGTGTACACACCCATGCCTGATGCCTCCGTGGCTTCAGCTTTGCTGCTATCACTACTAGTAAGCACACTCTTAAGAGGCTTAGGGAATAACATATAAGAGTTCCCCGGAGAGTGGTCTGCACAGGAGACAAACTGCAACTGACCACCAACAAAAAATGGAGACTATGCAGAAAATGCTGTTAAACACACAGAATAAAACATTGTCTCTAACATGTTTCAGTTAATAGTAATCCTAAGAGTAACTTATAGTAGTAGATACATAATTTTCAGATGGAAATATAAAATCAGATTCTCTGCTTCACCAAGTTTCCACTTAACATAGCAGGGAGGTGTGCAGCATGTTCATTACAGAGCCTGTTTTGGATTCAGATTGGATCTGCACTGAGCCCAACACATCAGTACAGTTTCTGGAAGCTGCTAATGAGACATAACAGCCAAGAACTAAGAAGGAGCTTGAGTACTCTTATTGAAAGTGATACCTACCTTAATGTAATCAATTCCTAGGTTTTCATTACCAGACACTGCAATAGCTGCTTCCGAATATAACTTTTCACCCAGACAAAACAGTTTCCAGCCTTCTTCATCCTCAGATTTTGGCTGAAAAAGGTAAATAAGAGTGGGCTACTTTTCATATGATATTATGATTCAGTATTTTCATTACATAAGTTATATATTTTCAAACAATTTATAACTCTGGTAATCCTGATTTGCAGTTAAACACAATTACTAAAGCACCACCATTATCAGCATAAAACAATTTAGCAGTAAAGATGTTCACAAAATTTGTTATAAAATTCACTCACCATTGTAACATTGCTGTCCAAATGTTGTGCCTTCCAATGACTTCTGTGTTTATTCACACTCTGTAGGATTAAAATAATTAAGCCTGATTATGGTTTATAATATAATGATTTTATTCTAGTCAAAGTAGCTTTCCATCTCCAAATTGCTTTAATTGGGCCTCCATAACCATAAAAAAAACAATTCAATACCATTATAATGGTTATTTTTCTTTTAGAAAAAGTAGATTGCATGTTGCTGTAAAAATATGGTAAATAATTGATCAAATTATTCATGTATTTCTTTTAATATAACAATGTATTGCAAGTTGTAAGCTCCAATTTACTATTTTATAACCTGTAGAGAGAGATGAAATATGAATAAAATTTGTTGCTTGGTTAGTCTACTCAAAATTTTACTTTAAATACTCCTTCATTTATATAGCTTTGACATCTCTAGAACCATAATTTTAACACTATTAATCCTTTAAAACGTTTACTTAAGGTAAACCATCTTAAGGTAGCAATCTTAAGAAAAAGGGTTTTCAGTTCTTGAAAGACTGCCCTTGCTTCTGTTTTGAGATTTTAAATGGGGAGCTTTCACCTTCATAAGCCAACTTTCTCCTTCTTCTGGATCTGGCAGAGTTATCATGTGTTTGATAATCTTGCCCTAGAAATAAGCCTCAACAAGTACTGCAGTATCCTAAATGAGGGGAACACTGGCTGAAGAGAACCAAAACCTGGCAGAAGAGAACACAAACACTAGGTATAGCAAGAAAACAACCGTGAGTAAGAGGTTAGATGTATTTAGATTCTCAGTCCAGTATGAGTCAAGGACCTTCATAGCATCAAAATACCTCTTTGAAAGTAGATGTATAAAGTTTGTCCAAAACTAAAATGGCCTGCTTTGACAGTATTCTGGAGATTGAAGTTTAAACCTTTGGAATTCAAGGTATGTTTTCCAACCAGTGATTGTTATTGCAGCAAAGGTTTTTTTTGTTTTGTTTTGTTTTTTAAGCAGGCACCATGAGACCAGAACTCTGCTAAAAATCAGAAGACATGACAGATTTTATACAAACATAATGCTAGCATAGAGGTCTAGCCTTCTGATTCTTCTTCACTACTATTCTTGCATGTTTACATGGATACTAACACCAATTCTTTTCCTTCCCCTCCATGCTAATTCTGTTAGAGGTAAAAGAGGTCAGCATTTAACATGCTGCAATAGAAATGCTATATGTTTTAAGTCACTTAAGATCTTAGAGTATTGAAACTTCGTGATAAAAGTCTAGTTTACTATTTGTTTACCTTTTGAATTTTACTCAGCTTGGATTGTGGGGGGAAAAAAAGGCTATTCAGTTTCCCTTTCTAGTTCTCATACAATGGGTCAACTTGCAAGCACTGTATGGAAAATGTAAGATATGACCATCAGATCTGTGCAGATGGACCTTTCTACCTAGATGGAATCCTACTGAAGTCAATGGGTTCTTGTATGGGTGTAAGGTACTGTCCATGAGCCCAATTACTGGACTGGGACCCAAACGTTTTTATTTTGATCTTAGTAGTTCATTAAAACATTCCTAAAAAAATGACAAAATGTAGTATTGTTAGCTACAAAAAACCCCTAAGCTTTGCCCTCAACTACTTGACAGAGACCCTATAAATACACAGATATCATCATTTACAAGACTTTGTTCTCAGCCAGCTAAATGTATGATTGCCTGTTTTCTCCAAGAGCCTCTTTGGTGCTGGAGTGTCATGATAAATTAGGTTTACCAAAAAACCCAAAACAAACGAACAAGTTTTCCAAAGACAGAGCAGTCATCTACTTTATTATTTTCTACCATAAAATGTTACATCCTATATCTTTCCCCAGAATACAGTAAAGTCCACTCTTCCACCCCAAAAAACCAACACCACCACATTAGATGCCATCATATCCAAACTGCACTAGTTTGTGAACACTCTGTTCTTTACCTGACGAACTGCTGAAAAATGAGACACTTGCTGCTGCTGCCATTTGAGAGTTGGAGAATATCCCTCAGGGGCAGGATGGCATCCTGTAAGCTAAGAAAGCATAGGTAGGATCTTTTTATAACAAATAATCAACGAACAGACCCCTAAACTAATCAAGTCTAAAACTAAGAATTTCCACTTAAAGTACATGTGAAACTAGAAAGACAAGACAAGAGAAAATTCTACTTTGAGAAAGAAAACAAAACCAGACCCAATTCTCACATTTGACAAAACAAATGTCATGTTTTAACTAGTGATATGCTGAAGATATCCAAATGCCAGATGTACCCCATTCTCTTACTATTAAGTATTGTTTACTCATAATGATAGAGGAAATTCTCTAAAATAGAATGGTCATTATTTTTCTTTTTCTGATTGTAGCTTTAAATAGCTTATTTTGCACAAATGCAAATTTTACAGAAATCTCAATCAGATATATTGACTGTCTTACTTCATATCACAAGCAAGTGGATAGCCTGATTTGCATAGAATAAAAGACTGATCTACAAAAATACATTGTTTTAGGGCCCTAAACAGATCTATCACTTCAATTAAGAATGGGCATCCGCCAGCCATATAAGGCATCAGTGCAGAAACAGAAGAATTACCGTTCCAGATCTCCAAATAAAACCCCATGAATTTGTAATAAAAATCTAGGAGGCGGAGATGAAAATTTTTAAATGCGTGTAGTTAAGTGCCTTTTAGAGGGAGGGATAATGAAAAACCTCTGTAATGACTTCTTGCAGGTGGGATGCTGAACATTTAGCAAGAATATAGGATGTATCTCTGGATTAAAAGTGAACCCCAAAACTCACACTAATCCACTACTTTTACAGTTCAGTATTGAGCCAACTCCCTATTTTATTACATTAAACAAGCTCTGAATGATTCACTGGAAGAGACACACAAGCAAGAAATTCCACTATTATTTCCACTAGATACAAGTTAAAGAAAAGTTAATCTGAACTGAAATGTATGTTGAAACTATTTTAATTCAATTTTTTTAAGTACCACATTTTGCTTGACTACATCCCAATTTAATTTTACAAACCCTTAGGTTTGGTCTACACTACAAAGTTAGGTCCACGCAAAGCAGCTTATGTTGACCAAGTTTGTGCATATGTCTATGCTTAAATTCGTCTCCCACCGATGTAAACACCCCATTATGCTGACACAGTAATACCATCTCCCCAAGCGGTGCAGAACCACAGTCCATGTACTTAGGTCAACACAGTGCGAGTACAGACACAGCATTACTTATAGCAATCCTAACTGTCCTCCAGCAGCTGTCCTATAATGCCCCACACTGACCACTCTGGTCACCATTGTGAACTTTACTGCCCAGGGGTCGCATAACCCGGAACCCCCTACTCCCATTTAAAGCCTTGCAAATTTTGAAATTCCGTTTCCTGATTGCCTGGCATGATGTGCACACCTAGCAGCTTTCCATTGTTGAGTGCAATTGCCCAGCTGACCATGCTGGCTACATACTCCAGATGCACTCCTGCCTGGAGTAGACAGGAGATATTGGATCTCCTGGGCCTGTATGGAGAAGAGGATGTGCAGGCACAGTTTCAAACCAGCTGTAGAAACATCAATATCTACCAGCACATTGCTCAGGGGATGCAAGAGAAGGGACCAGCAGCAGTGCCGCATGAAAGCCAAGGAGCTGTGGCAGGCATACCAGAATGCCAGGGAGACCAACGATTGATCCAGTGCCAAGCCACAGACCTGTCCCTTTTACAACCTCTGAGAACCCAGAGTCACAACCCCTCGGTGTGAACAGCACGGAGGAAGAAGAGTTGGTGGTGGTGGATGAAGAAGAGGAGGAGTATGGGACAGGAAACCAGGGATCCAGCTGCACATCGAGCTAGGACCTGTTTCTGACTCCACTGCAGTCCAGCCAATCCTGGGTAAGTGTGTAGATAAATTTTCAATTACAGGGATGGCACTCCCAAAGTAGCAGGACACATCTTTGGACTTTTCATTAATTTACTCATGATAGAAGAGCTAGTGGTACAACCAAGAGATGTAGAGTTGCTATCTGTTTTTCATTCCCCTCTAGAGTTAGCAGGGGGGAAGGTGGAGCGGAGGGGAGGAGATGTGGAGAATATGATCATGTGGAGCAGTTTATGTTTGTACACAGGGAGGTCCCTTGAATCCTCCTGAGAGATCTGCATGAAATTTTCATGGAGGTACTCTGCAATCCTCTGCCAAAAGTTTCTAGGGAGGGCTGCCTTATTCCTTCGCCATAGGACACCATTCCATAACACTCAGCAATAACTTCAGCAGGCACCACTGCAATACACAGGCTAGCATCATAAAGGCCCAGGCAGCTTCAAGACACCAGCAGCAGCTGTCCTTTCTCTGCCTTTGTTACCCTCAGGAGTGAGATATCAGCTAAAAATCACCCCAATCCCTGGTGGGCCACCCTCACCATGGCTGGTGCTGTGACTTACACTGTCTACAAGCAATCCCAAGCAGAAGTGAGAATGTAGTGCTTAAAACTTTAGGAGAGCAAGGAGAGTGAGTTCAGCATCTTAAGGTCCACTTTCTGTAGTGAATATGCTGACAATGTTACCCCTGTGTGTTTTGTCTTAAAACAGCTGCCATTACAGCCTTCAGGATCTCCCCCTGCACACCTGCAGAACACCTGAACCAGAAAAGGAGGAGAAAGAGGACTTGGGATGACATGTTCAATGGGATCCTGCAAGCCAGTGCTGCATTGTATCGTGAGCACAAGGCATGAAGGATGAACACTATGGACAGCCTGGAGAAGTAAAGAGTGGAGAGGGGAAAGGCCCAGGAGTTCCAGCAGGAAAAAGGAGAGAGAGAGAGATGCATTAGGACATAATAGGGATTTTCAGGCAGCGCAAACAGATGTTGCAGGCTCTGGTGGACCTGCAGGTTCAACAATCCCAGGCTCGCCTCCCTCTACCATCCATTGAGAACTCAGTATCAGGAACACCCCTATATTCCACATAACATTCCATATGGCAACATTCCCCTACCACTCCACCCCAAGGGACATTAAAGACAATCACAGCTTCTCATACGCTGACTTGTAAAAGCCATGGTAGGTGTGTGTGTAGCTGAAATGGACATCAACATTTTCCCCCCTTCATAATAAATTAAGAGAACAGAACTTAAGAATGTATTTGTTTTAAAATTGCACAAGGTTTTTTTTTTAACTAATTTTGTTACAGAATAAAATTATATTATTTGGAAAATAATTCATCTTTATTAGTTCACAACATATGCTGCCAAGTGCTCAGCAGTTCTGAAAGCAACCAATTACCCGTTACTGCACGACACACAAATCATAGGCTCATTCACAAACAAAATTAACAGGTGAAATGACAATGTTATATTCCTACACGTAATTGCCACAAAATTGCTACCAGGCTACAAAAGAGCAGGACCTGGCCAACACCACACACTACTCTGGCTCGCTGTTAAACTGGTCTCTGAAAGTCTCCCTGAGCTGTATACCTCCATGTTGAGCTCTTCTAATACCCCTTGTATCTGGCTGTTCAAATTCAGCAGACAGCTGCTCCACCTCCACCCTCGTGGAAACTTTACCCCTTTGCTTCACATATATTATGCAGGACACAGCAAAGAGTTATAACCATTGGGATATTTTTCTCACTGAGGTCCAATCTTGTGAGTAAACAACGCCAGCGACCCTTCAAATGACCAAACGCACATTCAACCGTCATTTAGCACCTGCTGAGCCAGTAGCTGAATCATTCCTTGCTGCTGTCGACGTGGCCAGCGTACGGCTTCATGAGTCGGGGAGTAAAAGGAAGATTGGGTCACCCAGGATCACTATTGGCATTTCAACATTCCTAATGGTAATCGACCAGTCGGGAAAGAAAGTCCCTGTTTGTAGCTTCCTGAACAGTCCTGTGCTCTTAAAGATGCGAGCGTCATGCACCTTCCCTGACCAACTGATGTTGGTGAAGCGCCCCTGGTGATCCACCAATGCTTGCATAACCATAGAAGAGTAGCCCTTTCGGTAGATATTCTCAGTGGCAAGGAGGTCTGGTGCCAAAATAGGGATATGTATGCCATCTAGCACACCATCACAGGTGGGAATCCCATTGCTGCAAATCCATCCACTATGTCCTGCACATTGCCAGGAGTCACAGTCCTCTTAGCAGAAGGCGATGAATGGCTCTGCATGCTTGCATGATAACGGTCCCAGCGGTGGATTTCCCAAATCGAAACTGATTCCAGACTGACTGGTAGCAATCTGGTGTTGCAAGTTTCCACAGTGCGATCACCACTCACTTCTCCCTGTCAGTGCTGCTCTCATTTTGGTGTCCCTGCACTGAAGGGCTGGGGTGAGTTCAGTGCACAAATCCAGGAATGGGGCCTTGTGGATCTGAAAGTTATGCAACCACTGCTTGTCACCCCAAACTTGCAATATGATGCAACCCCACCAGATCAGTGCTTGTTTCTTGGACCCAGAAGTGGCAATCCACCATCTGGAGCTGCTCTGTGAACGCCACCAACAATCTTGAATTGGCTTTTGCTATGTTCCACAGCAATCTGTCCTCCAAGGAATTGCCATGGTCCCCACTCATTCGGTTCTTCCTGAGGCTCTGCAAATACTCCAGGATTGTGCGCCCTGTGCTTGCAACGTTCATAACAATAGTGCAGAGCTGCGCAGGCTCCATGGTTCTGTCAGAGATGGCAGACAGCGAGGAGGGCTGTGTGGGTTTGTGGGATTTTGAAAAAGAGGTGCAAAAGTTATGGATACATATAACATTATGGGATGGAGACAGTAGCAAGCTGGGAAGTTGACCCCATGCTCCCAGCTACCCCTGCATGACTTGTTTCAGCTCCATCATGCACTGCCAAAGCCTCCCAAGACAGTGAACACGAGAGTGGTGAGTTGCACAGTGGGATACCTACGCATGCAGCACAGCACTCTGCATTGATTCAAGCACTCCTGATGAGTATGTACACCGCCGAACCAAGGAGCCACGTATGCAGGCACACAAACGACATACACCTCTACCCTGATATAACGCTGTCCTCGGGAGCCAAAAAATCTTACCGTGTTATAGGTGAAACCGCGTTATATCGAACTTGCTTTGATCCACCGGAGTGCGCAGACCCCCCCCCCCCGGAGTGCTGCTTTACCGCGTTATATTCGAATTCATGTTATATCAGGTCGCATTATATCGGGGTAGAGGTGTACTAATTTTGGCGGCTGTACGCCAGCGTAACTTGAGTCAACGTAAGTTTGTAGTGTAGACATGCCATTAAACAAAAACATTTCTCTCTCCTGTTGTGTGATCAACAGAAACAAAAGGGAAACCTCTCAAAACTAAAAACAACAACTTTCTCCTCTACCATCTCTTAAAGATTGTAGTCTGATCTGCTTCAGTTTCCCATCTACAAAATGGGGATATAATCTCACTGGGGTGTTACGAAGATAAAATCTATTAATGATTGTGAGGTGCTCAAATAATAAGGTGAGTAAGGCTATATAAGCATCTAAATAGTTTAGTAATATTAGATTTTAAAAATCATTTATGTTAGAATATTAAATAGATGGTGTCCCCTCTAGAAAGTAAAACAAAATACTATAATTCTAAGGGCCTGATTTAACTCCTATCATCAAGGTTAACTGAAAGATTAGTAACTCCATTGGGAGGTAATCAGTTTTAAGGCTTATCATAAGAAGAGAATACAATATTTTTCTATATGTATTTGAAAACAACTCCATCAAGAAAGGAGAGAAAATTTGAGGGAGGGGAAGTAAAAGGAAAGTGTCCCAAGTTGTTCAACTTGGAATCATGAAGTAAAATTGAGCAAATGAAAATTTATGATGTGAAATATCAGAACAGAGTTTCCAGAAGAGAAATTGTAGAAGCTCCATTATTTGAACCATTTTGAAGGGGCCAGGGCAAAGCCCTAGGACACATACAGTAGAGAATAATCCTGTTTGGCTGACCACAACAGATGGACTAGGGTGATTTACAAAAAAAAAAAAAATATATCTTAAACTAGCAACAGGAAAAGACTAAGAACATACTCTGCATTGATATCCTCATATCTTTCAACTGTAGAAAAGTTTTATGACAACGTTTTATAAACCTTTAAATACAAAATTATTTTAGTTGTATCTGCAGTGAGAAAATATGATCAATTATTTTTGCTGAAGAGTCACACAAAATATTGTCTTGTATGTTATAAGTTAGATCAGTTGAGTTTTAATGAGACTTCAGTTATTCAGTAATTCACAATCTGGATCTGCAAGACTAGATTCCATTTACTTCTGCAGATTACTTTAAAATTCAGTTACTCTACAACATGTTTGATGCTTACACCATGCATCCAAAAATTTTAATAGACAAACATTTTAATATGAAATCAAAAGCTTTTCTTCTCATTTAACTGTCTACTCTGTTTTTCTAAAAAAATATTTTTTAAATATATACATAAATATATATACAATACTTACTGAAATATTCACTGTCTGCTTCTTTCTCAACTTTCTAGGGTCTATCTGTGCCACAACAACATCTGGGCATCGTGCTGCTTCAATCCTTCAAACAGAAATAAAAGGCTATATTTGAAATCCCTCAGCTATGTCCCTTAGAACCAGAAACTGTCACAGGTTTGGGTTTGCATGAGGAGGTACCTGATCAAATACTAATTCATAACTTAAGAATTGTGCAAGTGTTTTGTATCTATTACAGAAAAAAAAGTTAAAGAAAAATATTTCTTATGGAAGGGTATGGGTTGAGAGTTTTAAAAAGATTTATGAGTTTACAATGTACGCTATGAATGGTAGATAAGTGCCCTCATGTGAGCCAGTCCGTGGCACTGCCAGGAACAGAATCCAGGACTTCTGATTTCTAGTTCTGTGCTTTAGCCACAAGACAGCTTTCAATCATAAATATCAGTGAAGGTCAAAGCTATTAGCAACTGTAGCTAGTAAAATACCATCGTATTCCTTCTGTGCAAAACAGACTACAGTCAAGACTAAGAACTTTCTCCTATTATTTGATTATGCCATAATCTGCCTGTCAAAAACATGTGATGATGGATCAGAGAGTGCAGTGGAATTTTAGAAAGTTTTCAAGAATATGGTTGCTGTCTGAAACGAGAAACTTATGAATATCAAAACCTGAACAACCTAGAGTCGGGTAATTTTAGGCTTAAATTTTTAGTATTGTTAAAAATAATCTTGTTATGAATATTGGTATTAATTTAAATTCTCAGTAAGTAATATCGCTAAATAACATTTGCACCTTGAACACTGATGTTACCTTGTAAGATTTACAAAGTTAAATTAACTACAGTATTATTCAGACATCAAACTTTGTAATTACTTGTATTACAGTAGCACCTAGAGGAATCAAATGAATTCACAGCACTTTTGTGATGGGTGCTGTCCAAACACAGAAGAGATAGTTCATGTTCCAGAGAGTTTATAGTTGAAGGCCTCGATCCTGCAACATGTAGAGCATAAACAGGGCAGTTTGTCTTTGCACTTACACATTGCTGGACCAGGACCTAAGAGACAAGACAGCTAAAGGGTTTGGTAAATGGATTAGGCATAGAGTCTGGGACAGGACCGGGATCTCTTAATTCCCAGTGTAGTGCCTGAACAACACTTATTTCTTAAGGGTATGCCTAGAGAGACTGTGGAATCTCATCACTGGAGATTTTTAAGAGCAGGTTAGACAAACACTTGTCAGGAATGGTCTAGATCAGGGGAGGGCAAACTACCGCCTGCGGGCTGGATCCGGCCTAGGGCTTTCAATCCAGCCCACGGGATTGCCAGCTCCGTGGTGCAGCAGGACTAAGGCAGGCTCCCTGCCTGCCCTGGCCCTGCAACGCTCCTGGAAGTGGCCAGCACCATGTCCCTGTGGCCCCATGTGGGGGGGACTTGGGGGGGGGGAAGGGGGCAGATGGCTCCGTGCATGGCCCTCGCCTGCAGGCACCGCCCCCTGCAGCTCCCATTGGCTAGGAATGGGGAACCATAGCCAATGGGAACTTCGGGGGTGGTACCCACAGGTGAGGGCAGAGCACAGCAGAGCCGCCTGCCCCACCCCACCGAGCCACTGCCGGACATGCTGGCCACTTCCAGGAGCGGTGCAGGGCCATGGCAGGCAGGGGGCCTGCCTTAGTCCCGCTGCACGCTGCTGCCAACCGGAGCCACTTGAGGTAAGCAGCGCTGGACTGGAACCTGCACCATGAACCCCTCCTGCACCCCAACCCTCTGCCCTGAGGCCCCTCCTACACCCCAACCCCCTGCCCTGCACCCCCTCCTGCACCCCACACCTGCCCTGCGCCCCCTCCTGCACCCCACACCCCCTCCCCCACTCCAATCCCCTGCCCCAGCCCTACATTCATGACCCTGCATACAATTTCCCCACCCCTGGTTTAGATAATATAGTCCTGACATGAGTGCAGAAGACTGGACTTCACTTGATGATCTCTTGAGGTCCCTTCCAGTCCTATGATTCTACACTACACTGTAAACCTGGGCTCAGATTCAGGGGTGAGATTAGTGACTCACAGGACCCAGGGTCTAAGACCCACTGGTCTGAGCCTGAGTACTGCTGTGATTCAGGTCCAAGCCCTGTCATTTTGCAGCGGGGATACAGCTCAAGCCTGGATCCCCAGAGATCTGGTCTGAGGCTGCACCCAGGTCCAGCAAATGCAAACCCAGGTTCAGGATGCAGTGCGGACCCACAGGCGGGAGTCGGCAGGCGGGGAGACCCAGGTTGACAATGCAATGTAGGGGGTGGGGCGGCCCCCACACAGGCTGCGCGCTGGGACCAAGGTGGGCTGGAGCCAGCGCCGCAGCTCGCTCGGCGCGCGAGAGCGACACGGGTCAGGGCACAACTCCCTGCGCCCCCGGCCCCTTCACAGAGGGGAGGCGCCCAACGGACTCCCAGGCCGGGCGTGCTCGGGAGAGGCGACCCAGCAGCCCCTGCACCTCACCAAGGGGAAGCGAGGCCCGGCCCAGCCCCCAGCTCGGCTCCCCCACGGGGCCAGAGAAGGCCCAGCCTCCAACCAACCCCTCCCCCACTTACTGGACCCGCTTTAAATACTCCGAGGGCGTCCGCGGGGGCATGGTGGGGTCGAAATCCTCCGCGAGGTCACAGTCCCCCACAGGCAGGAGCCGGGGCATCAACTCCTCCACCGCGGACTCCATCTCCGCGCGACGGCCGTTGCCCCCCGGGTAATCGCAGGGCGCAGGCGCGTTGAGGGACGCCGCTTACTCCGCGGCCGCCTCGACTGCTGGTCGAGGAGACAACGCATGCGCGTTGGGGAGGCCGCCCCTTCCGACGCCTGCTGGAGATCGGTGCAAGCGGAATAGCGCGCTGCCTTTCCCAGGGCTCAGTGGAGGTTGGGACGCCCTCTAGTGGTGCGCCCAAGCTCCCGTTCACATCTCAACCGGCCCTGTCCCGATGCTGGGACCGCCGCTCTCGGAGCTTCTACCCCAGCGGCCTGGATTGAAGCATAACTGGACCCAGTGCCTTTTGAGCCTGCAAACGCCATCCCATTACACCATGTGGTCCTTGTTCCAGGCACTATAGGGCACACTGTCTCCTATTGTAATAATAATTGTGCCCAAGACGGACCATCTGCTGCCAATACAGTGTATAATTTAGTACCATGAACAAAACACTACAGGGTGTATTCTCTTTTAAATAGCAATATGCCTTATTTTCCATACAGTTCCATACTCTCTTGTGACAAAAGGAGACCATTGTTATGCAATAGGTGCCCAACGAACCACTGCCATGTTGGTATGGGACCTGCCAAAATAACATTGCAATGTGAACATTGTTATGTACAAACTTAGAAACACTGAAACCTTAGCAAAAGCTTGGTATGTAGCTCTCAGGAAACAGAATGGGAGTAAAATGTGCACAGACAGACACGTCTGCAGAGAACTGCCATGTACTACGGTTATAATTCAGGGGCACACTTGCCCACTTCTTTACTGACCACAGGCCATCTCTTGATATAATTTCTGGACCCAGAAACACACTAAGGCAACTTTGCCACTGCACTTCAACCCAGAACCAGGTGTACCACAGCTTTCCCTTCATTTTAACAGCCCTGATCAGATACCTTTTCACACTTTAGTACACTTGGTGTACAGATCTACAGACTGGGTTTGCTGTCACTCTGGACACTAATGAATGGCAGAATGAAATGTAACAGTTGCCCAAGAGATTTATGTCTCATCATTGCCTTTTGCGGGCTGATGTATCACAGTGGAATGATGGATTGGGATTGAAGATAGAGAGGAGGAAGTTTCTACATCATCCCTATGAGAAAACCTCTTAAAGGGCTAACCTTTGGCTTAACACACAGAAATACCAAGCAATACTGTATATACCAAGCACACTTGTGCCCAAATAGTTCTCTGATGTTAATACACAAATGACAAAGCAATTAAATCTCCAAAATGCCATTGAATCTATTTAGCTCTTTAACAATCATTTTAAAGGACCAAACGCAGAGTTCTAACCTAAATTTCAGCATTAGCAAGTGTTTCTTTCAGAGCCAGTGCATAAGATTCAATCTTTCTCCATTTAAGTCAATGGAAGTGTTGCCATTAGTAAATTATTTCTTGATTTCAAAATTTGCCTCATCTGGCAGCTCCCCTTGCTTTCTGTAAAAGCAGAAGGAAATATAAGTGTAATTAGGAGGTTGACAGGAACTGGACTTTTATATACAGGGATCCATTGCCAGTCTTTTGCGCCATGTCTCAGAGAAATAAACTAACCTTCTTTAGTAAATCTTCAGACCAGCTGTTTTATTTCAGGCTGACACCTCCATCAAGTGAGTACACATTTCAGCCAAAAGATGACACATACACACAAGCCACCTTAAATGAAGGCAAAGGGACATTTAAAAAACAAACAACAATGTATCTTATAGAGACCATAAAACTTTCTCAGTCCTCCATGTCAAATGAGAATAATGATACTTCCCTCCTCTGCAAAACTCTTTGAGATCTATGGATAAAAAGCACTATAAGATCTAGATATTAAGTATTATTAATAATAATAATAATTAATAATTAAACATAGTGCTTGCTCTAGGCAATGATACAAATATCTTATATATTTATTCCTAAAGGGTCAGTGCAAGGATTTTTAAATTTTACTACACACTGCATTTATTGTATTTAAAAAAAACTATTTGAAAGGCACTTTTGGTTGTTTCTTCTATATTTGAGCAGTTCTGAACAAGCAATGACCTTCAATTTTCCTCTCCATTCATTTTTATTTGCTTTTAAGGTGTGTCTCATAACCATTTACGTGTAACAGGCAGCTTTACTCTGAAACCAGGATGTAACTTCCTATTAGTGCATGTGACAAGTGTGAACATCACTTGAAATAAGACCTGCTTAATCAAAAGTACATTGGCATTTCAGGAGAGTTTGACATAGTGGTAAAGGTAAAACCTTAACTTTGTCAATATATAAATAGATTTCTTGAAAATATTCAGATTTTAGGATCTATGATTTTATCTGGTATGAAGACAAGAATTATAAAAAGAGAGAATCAGGGATTTTGATGTAGCAAGTGTAAACGTACATGACTTTTTAATGATCTAGATGATTTTTTCCCTGAACATTTCTAATGCTGCTTTTTGAAGCTGAATAACATACTTTGAACTAATTACTTAGTTTTAAACGGACTGTTACAGGAAACACTGGTGGTTTTCCTAGGACTATCAAGAGTATCAAATAACAAGACTTAACAATGGAATTCATGCAATATCTGGTAGAGCAAAATATGGTTCAGTGGATGAAGAAGAGAAAACAGTCAGAGCTGAATATTCTTTCTCCTTACCAACTGCCTAGGAGTTACAAAGGAGTAATTTCTTGAAGAAAAGGTGAGTTGCCACCTGTTGATGTGAACTGCTGATTCAAAATCTAACACACTAATCTGTAATATATTGCAAAAAGGTAAGAAAAATAAAGTCGAATTACTATATATTGTAACACCAGGGGATAACAGAAAAGAGATTTTCTGATTATGTGTGCTTGCTGGTTTTGGACCCGTTTATCTATTCCATCTATGTATCCATCCAGGTACTTTTGCTTCCCTCTGAGGTCCCCACCACCATAAAATCTGTGCACCTTCCTGAAGGGCTCTTCAGGGCACAAGAAATGTGGGACTGGGCCCTTATAAAATTAAATATTTATTTGTACAATGATTGGTAACAAAACTATTTTATACCTCTTATCCTCACTGGGCTTTCACTATATTGTATCCTCCTGATTTTCCTTCTTCATCTCTGACCATTTTTTCAATGACTCTGTTGTCAAATCCTCCTCTCTGCTGCTCTCTACAGGGGTACTCCAGGGCTCTGTCCTTGACCCTCATTTCTTTTCCCTTTACACCCTTTCTTTGGGCAATCACCATAATATCTGAGCACTCTCAGAAACCATAATATTGAGGGAGTTTTTCATCTGCTTTAACGGCACCTGCTAAGGAACTATTTGGGCTCCAGCCTTTTTTTTGCAGGATGGGGAGTCTGCATACCCTCAACTCACAGCTCACTATTTTCGCCAACTGACAGTGTGATCAGAAAAAAGAACAGGAGTACTTGTGGCACCTTAGAGACTAACAAATTTATTTGAGCATAAGCTTTCGTGGGCTACAGCCCACTTCATTGGATGCATAGAATGGAACATATAGTGAGGAGATATATATACATACAGAGAACATGAAAAGGTGGGAGTTGCCCAACCAACTCTAAAAGGCTAATTAATTAAGATGAGCTATTGTCAGCAGGAGAAAAAAGTTTTCATGTTCTCTGTATGTATATATATATCTCCTCACTATATGTTTCATTCTATGCATCCGATGAAGTGGGCTGTAGCCCACGAAAGCTTATGCTCAAATAAATTTGTTAGTCTCTAAGGTGCCACAAGTACTCCTGTTCTTTTTGCGGATACAGACTAACACGGCTGCTACTCTGAAAAGTGTGATCAGAGTGTGTGTAGGAGAACTCAGAATCCCTCCATTCAGGCAGCGTGGGACCCTGTTTTTGTCTGCAAGCCTCTTAAATCATGAAGCCAGCCTGGTCATTCAGACCATAAGATGACTGGTGAATAATAGTGAAGATAGTAATTGTGTAGAATTTCACCACAACCACAGTTAAAGTACAAATAATGGAGGAATGAGGTTATGGTCACCCATAATTCATTCACTGATACTAGATAGTTATTACCATGACACATATATTTTCAGATTCTGTGAGAAAAAGTGCAAGAGCGATGATAAGTGTTTTGCTCCCCACAATCAATAAGATTCCTCAGAAAAGACTACAGTTACTGCTTTGTCCAGGACATTTTAATCCTCTTTCTCAGAATTGTTGGTTAAAATCATTCTGGCATGGTAACATTGCTTTGCAAACCGAATTACATAAGAATTTTGTCTTGGAAGAAAACAAAAACTGATACAGTAGCTTGTAGCCTAAACAAAAACTCTGATACATTGAGGGCTAAATGCTATTGTTACTTGCTAAAGTATTTTGGAAAATTTGCATTTGAACAAATTCATTTGGGAACATAATCAGGGATAGGTCATATGAAGAAATGAAAAGTGTAATAATATCTTGTTTTATTAGGTATCTCCTTGAATATAAACGTTACTCCTTGGATACTTAGGCGATCACTTCTGATGTCCCCTCCATAGGTGCTGACTCCATGGGTGCTCCAGGGCCTCGCCAAGCAGCAGCTCCTCCCGCCCACCAAGGATCAGATGTTCAGTGGAGGGCAGGAGGTGCTGGGGGCAGGATCAGGAGCAAAAAGAAGCAGAGCGAGGGTGTGGTCAGGGCTGGTGCAACCCATTAGGCGACCTAGGCGGTCGCCTAGGGCGCTGCGATTTGGGGGGTGGCGACCGTGGCGGTATTTCGGCGGCGGGACCTTCCGCTGCCTAGGGCGGCGGAAAAGCTGGTGGCGCTCCTGGGTGTGGTGCACTCAGGGGGGGGGGCGGGGGGAGAAGAACGGGGCAGGAAGAGGCAGGGGCAGGGTGGGGACAGAGTGGGGGTGGGAAGAGGCGGGGCAGGGATGGGGCTTTGGGGGAAGGGGTGGAGTGGGAGCAGGGCCTGGGGTGGAGCGGTGGGTTGAGCATCCCCCAGGAAATCAGAAAGTCAGCATCTCTGGTCCCCTCTACCATTTAATTATTATTATATATGATTATTAACATACACTTCTATTACTATATACAAATATT